CTGGGCTCTCTGTTCTGTTCCATTGGTCCATATGTCTGTTTTGGTACCAATACCATGCTGTCTTGATGACTGTAGCTCTATAGTATTGTCTGAAGTCTGGGAGAGTTATTCGTCCAGCCTCTTTCTTTCTCTTCAGTAATGCTTTGGCAATTCTAGGTCTTTGATGGTTCCATATAAATTTTATTATGATTTGTTCTAGTTCCGTGAAATATGTCCTGGGTTGCCTCAGGGTCCATGTTCTTAAACACAGTGCTGAACTGCCCTCAGCAAACTAAAAGTTAGGTTGAGAAGTCTACTGTGTCAGCACTCTTAGAATAAAGCTCTCAAACTTAGCTGCCCATAGGAACCCAAGTGAGTAAGGTAAACAAGGAGGGTAAGTGAGGGCTGGGGGTTCTGGGTTCTGGAGTGTCCCTGCCTTCTAGAGGAATGGCCTTTATCAGCGCCATGTAGTGTTGCCATCTGGAAATGGATACTTTCTGAGGTGTTTTTTTTTTAAAGAGAAGCAAGAGAAATCTGGATTTTTACGAAAGATCTTTTTAATTCAAAGGACAAGGAAAGAAAAGAGAGGGAAGAGGGGAAAGAGAAGAAAAGAGGGGGAAAGAGAAAGGGAAAGGAGAGCAGAGAAGGGAAAAACCACACAGGACACACACATACATCTGCAGAAGGTATTCATTCAGTCTGTGGACCACTTGTTTGCAACCTCGCTTTCAGAGGTTATTAAATCTTATCACAATGGACTCCCGTTGATTTTAAAGATTTTTACTCCTCACTCTAAACCATCAAGTAATTACATTTTTAAATGACCTATTTGTCTAACCTATTAGAGACTATGGATTTCCACTATTTGGTTGGAGAAGAGTGGGGGTAATCGGGGAGGAGGGTTGTTTCTGAGCTTAGGCAGTCTCTCCTGGGGTCGTGGAAATGCTGTGACAATTACAATAGCAGATCTTTTCAGAGTAGTGTTGATTTTCTGTCTGAATCAAGAGATTTTGAATTACAAGCGTATCCAAGCAATCAGGGCTTTTCTTCTTGATTCTTGAATTGATGGATAATTTATCCTCTGTTAACAAAACAAACAAAAGAAAACATCCTTTCAAAGGTGAACTAGTACCATCAGCTCTCTGTGGGAAATGGAGATAAATTCTGACTTCTGAGAGTTTTATGAAGTCCCTCAGCTTTTCTAAGTCTTTCAACTTTCGGTTGCTGAACTTTGAGTTGTTCATGTTTTACAGTCCTTTCTAGAAAGCCAGATTTCTTGGCTCCAGCCATATAAGACAGAGATGTTCTTTACTCCTGAATTTATGAGACCTTCCACCTTTTTTGTAGCAGATGTCCAATGTGCTTGTTTTCAATGGTCTAAATCTGGATTACAGATACATAAAGTCTCATAAATGAGATACAGTCATTTACTTACTTCCAAAAATAGCACTCTTTTAAATTGTGTTTTCGTTAATATTTCATGTCATGGGTTAAAATTTTGTATTATTTTGAAGTTTGGCAGGGCTTAATAATGGCCATTTTTGGAGGGAAATGGGATCAATTAACACCTTTTTATGCACAAGACCCTGCACTGTGTCCTGCAGAGTGAACAAAAAAGAATCAATAAGTTTGTCCCCTTCCCTCCTGGGGCTGAAGTACTTTTGGAGAAATCAGGCATTTACACAAGTAGCAACCGTACACAAAAAGCACAATTCAAGGGACACAGAGGACCATAGCTGTAGGATTTTAAAGAGAGAGAGAGAGACTTTATGACCTGAAAGTCCTTAGAAGCCCTTCAGGAAGGATACGGGGTTTAAGTGGGGCTTTGAAAAATGGGTAGGCTTTTTGAGGGTGAGGAGGGCAGAGTGTGGCACTAAAGGTATTATAGAGACAGAGGCAAAAGAGGGAGAGGAAAGATGGGCTTGGGCACAACAAATGATTGCAACAGAAGACTCCAGAAAAGAAGAAATGGCACATAAACCTGGGGAATGATTTGTATGAACAAAAAGCAGTCAGAACCCAGGATGGGAAAAAATTTAACCCATTAATATGAATAATGAAGTTAGAAGGAAGAGCTGGTTCAGGGAAGAAAATAAGTTGGATTTATTGTTAGATTTCTTATGATATAGATCAACCAAATAACATTGAACCAAAATATCAAATTCTTTCTTTCAAAATCTTGGCCCAACCACATTTGCCTTTGTCTACAATTTTGACCCTTAAGCCAGAGTTAAGATGGTGCTGTTTGACTTATTATCCATCACATGCAAGGAAATAGGATCTTTGAATTTTGGAGCTGGAAGGGTCCTTAGAAATCATGTAACTTATTTTGCCAGTAAGTTAATGTGGGGTGCAGAAAGATTAAATGATTAGCATAAGGTCAGAGAGTCTATGAGCAATAGAGGTGAAATTAAAAGAGTCATCTACTAATTTCTGAATCATTGTTTGATCCATATCACATAAAGTCTGGTTATCCTGTCTAAAAAATGTTTATGTATAAACACATATAAGTGAATTTTCATATATACTTTAAAAAATTCAGATATAGTTTTTAAAATTCAAAATTTTCATACCTTTGGAAACTTCTCTTTTTCCATAGTTCCGAGTCCTTACACTCCCTCTGTTTACCACCCGCTATGTGTCATTATATATATATTTTTAGAATTTATATACTCATACACAAGCATACCTTTACACACGCACACACATAACACATATGTAGTGTTTTAGATCATTGTTTTACAAAAATAAAAACATATATATTCTTTTCTGTTCCTTGCTTTATTCTCCCAGCAATACCTTGGGGAAATTTCTCCCAAGTGAAAAGTTCTAGCCTACTTAATTGGGTTTTTACTTTGTTTTGTTTTTAATTTTTTAATACAATTTTTAAAGGTTATATTCCATTTACAGTTAGTACAAAATATTGGCTACATTCCCCATGTTATACAATATGTCCTTGAAGCCTGTCTAACACCCAGTGTTTGTACCTCCTACTCCCCCACCCCATATGGCCCCTCCCTCACTCCCCACTGGTAACCAACCACTAGTTTGTTCTCTATATCTGAATCTTCCCCCTTTTTTGTTATATCACTAGTTTGTTTTATTTTTTAGATTCCACGTGTAAGTGATACATAGTATTTGTCTTTCTCTGTCTGACTTACTTCACTTAGCATAATGCCCTCCAAGCCCATCCATGTTGCTGTGTATGGAAAAATTCTGTTCTTTTTTATGCTGAGTAGTATTCCATTGTATAGACATACCACATCTTTATGCATTCATCTGTCGATGAACACTTAGGTTGCTTCCATATCTTGGCAGTTGTAAATAATGCTGCTATGAACACTGGGGTGTGTGTATCTTTTTTGAATTAGTGGTTTTGTTTTTTCAGATACCACCCAGGAGTAGAATTGCTGGATCATTTGGTAAATCTATGTTTAGTTTTTTGAGGAACCTCCATACTGTTTTCCATAGTGGCTGCACCAATTTACACTTGCACCAACAGTGTATGAGGTGTCCCTTTTCTCCACATCCTCACCAACATTTGCTATTTGTGTTCTTCTTGGTGATAGCCATTCTGACAGGTATGAGGTGATATCTCACTGTGGTTTTAATTATTTTAATTGTTGCATAATGCTTCACAGGGGAGCTATGTCATGATTTATTCTGCCATTCCCCTATTTATAGAGCAGTTTGTTTTAAGTTTTAAGTCTCCAAATAGTACTTCAATAAACATATATCTACATATGCTGGTATTTTATTTCTATTGATAAGATCACTGGGTCAGGACACATGTATTTTTAGTTTTAGAAGCTAACCTACTTCCCTAAGAAAACTATAACTATACACATTTGCACATAGAATTAAAAATACTTCCTTTCACTAGGTTTTCCCAGACCATGGTGTTATAACTTTTTTTTAAAAGTTTTTGCAAGTGCTATTGGTATAGAGTAAAATCTCATTATTACTTTATTTGCATTTCTTTGACTACAAATGAATTTGATCATCTTTTCATAAGGTTGTTGGCTGTTGGATTTCCTCTTTTGCAAACTATGCTTTCATATTCTTTATCCATTTTTCCAATGGATTATTTTGTCTCCTTGTAAATTTTTAAGAGCTTCTGCTGTGTTACAGTTATGTCCTATAGGGATGCAAACATTTTTTCCAGTCATTTGTATTTGTTCATATTATCTTTTGCAATGCAAAAGTTTTATAATTTTTCTAGTCATCTATGTTGATGTTTTCTCTTACAGTTTTTGTATTTTCTGCTTTGCCAAAAAAAAAAAAGCCTTACCCACCCTGCTCCTAGATTATATTTATGATCCTAGATTTTCTTAACAGGATTTTTAATTTAATTATTTGTTTTACAGTTTAACCTTTAATCTTTCTAAATCCATCTGAAGTTGATTTTTCAAATTGGTGTAAGATAAAGATCTAGTTTTCTTTTCTTCTGGATGAATAGTTTGCCAACCCCTTATATTAAAGAATCCATCCTTTTGCCACTACATTGAAATACCTCTTTTGTCATATAGTAAATCCTCATTTATATCTGGATCTGTTTCTAGATATTCTATTCCACATATCTGTTTAGGCCTATTTCAGTACTTACTGATTTGATTACAGTAGCTTGATAGGACTTTCTGATATCTGGTAAATCTGATTACCCAAATGATTTTTGAGGCAGTTATCGAGTGTGTAGGTAAACACATTAAAAACCTATCTGCTGGACAGCAATGGGATGCAAACAGAACTAATATATCAAAATGTACTTGTATAATCAAAAGAATTTTTCCAAAATCTTTCTTCCCAAGATCTATTTCTATGGGAAGAAAAGGTTTGATGTTCTTATGAGATCTTAAACAGGTGACAACAAGTTTCACATCCTCAAATTCTGTTCTCTATTAATGGTGCTGTTTCCTTGATTCCCAGGTTGGCCCTGCAGCGGAATCGTCCTTGACGGCGTCTTCACTCTGAGCTACGACTGCATCCCAGTGGAAGCACTGCTCAGGGGAGCGCTCTGAGGTTTTCCTAAAGGGAAATTCCATGGGGACTGTACCTGACTCTCTGAGATCAGCTAAAACTTCCCTGATTGAAGCTTCTGGAAAAGAAGAGGATCTAGGAGAGGTGCGGGCGGCCTCACCTCAGCCTCGACCAGCCCTCCTGTGTGAGAACACCAATGGCCTTTCCAGCACTCCTGCAGAGCCAGCCCTCGGCCCCAGGACAGCAGCTGCGGCCCTGATGCAGGCCGGTGAGCATGAGACCACCCAGCCCGCCATGTCTTCTCCTGGCGTAGTCCGTGAAGTGGGGAAAACATCTCCCACACTCAACTCTCCTGGCGATACCCAGCTGCCGGGGAGCAGGGAGCCCACAGCACCAGCCCCATGTTCTGCAGCAGAAAAGGATCTTACACACGCAACATTTACCATGCCAGCTAATCAGCACACCCACCCGGCCATCCCAGGCGACCAGCCCAATGCCGGCCCCTACTCAGGACCTGAAGATACCCTGGTGAAATCACAGAGAACTTCAGATGTAGAGCCACCCGAGAAGTCAAGTTGTCCTGTGGGGGACACCTGTGGTGGCAACAAAGATCAAGTGTCCTGTGATTTTCCATCTCAAGAAACAACCCAGGGAATGGTGCAAGCTGCAGGCACAGCAGCCAGAGTGTTCGGTAACACGTCCACTCCTGTAGGTGGACCTGAAGGGGAAAGGCAGCAAGCTGTTTGCAATTCCCAGACAAGGTCCTGTGACTCTCCTGCGAGAGATGATGGATGTTCCGGGAACATACCACCGTCTGCCTCCACCTCAGACACCCAGGCTGTGACTTCAGGGACACCTCAACCATCCCACCTCCCTAGCAAAGGGTCAATGTTTCCTTCAGATCTGGAGAAGGTGCCACCGCCAACACATGCTCTGGTGTCAAGGTTCAAAGAAGCGGGCACGATGACCAGCCAGGCTGAAAAGGAGATCGAGGAAGCCCCCCCCAGGGCTCAGCAAGATGCCGAGGTGCAGGCAGTGGCCAGTGTCGAGAGCAGAGCTGTGTCCACCAGCCCCAGCATCCTCACTGCGTTCTTAAAGGAAGCCCCTGCTCAGGAGCAGTTCGAACCAGAGCAGCTGTGTGTCATCTCCCATGGCAGCGGCCACGTGAGCCATACTTGGGAGCTGACTGACCACACCCATGGGCCCTGGCAGGTGGCTCAGAGCCTGGGCATCACGCCAGAGGTGCACATCCAGGCGGCTACAGCAGTTTCTACAGCTTCCCAAGGGGAAAGGGAATCAGTGAACCCACCAGGCGAAGTCCTTATGACCCCAGCAGTCAACGTGGCATCCAGTAACGCTCAGGATACGTGTAAAGAAAATGGGAGGTCAGCAGGAAAGACCCCAGCAAGGGAAGGGCTCTCCTCTAAGCAGCTTTCAGGTGCTAGTTCTACCTCCCTGAAAGCTGGCCCCAGTGACCAGACCTCTGTCAGCACAGGACGTCCAGCTGGAACAAGTCATGGGTTAGGGACATGTGAAATGCAGCCATCTGAGTTTGCTGTGGAAACCACAGATGGCCACAGAGCAGACCCAGATTACCAACTCTCCAACTCTTGTGGCCCCACCAGCAAAGCTGACCAGTCCGGGAGCTTAGATCTCACCAACCAGGGGAATGCAAGAGAGAGGAAGCGTGTGTCTCCTCACGTCGTGAAAGAGCAGGAATCCCCTGGCATCGATATTCTGGATGCAAAGGGAAGGGCAGAGGCCAAAAGCCTACTTCTCAACCCGAAATCTCAAGAAAGTGGAGGCACAGCATCAGCTGCCAGTCCCACCCCCTCTCCAGTCAGAAAGAGTCAGGAGGGCACCGGTGAAGAAAACAGACAGACCAAGACAGCCACCAGCCTAAGCCTGCCCTCCGATTCCCTGGGGGAGTCCAGTCCGGGTTCTGGCAAAAGGACCCCTTCTCGCTCGGTCAAAGCCAGCCCCCGCCGGGCCAGCCGGGTCAGCGAGTTCCTCAAGGAGCTGAACGTGACAGCAGCCGCCGCTCAGGTGGGACTCACTCCGGGAGAGAAGAAAAAGCAGCTCAGTGCTGAGTCCAAGCTCCAGTTGAAACAGTCCAAGCGTGTCAGGGATGTCATGTGGGACGAGCAGGGCATGACCTGGGAGGTGTACGGCGCTTCCCTGGACCCGGAGTCCCTGGGCATCGCCATCCAGAACCACCTACAAAGACAAATCAGGGAACACGAGAAATTAATCAAAGCTCAGAGCAGCCAGACCCGGAGATCCATCTCCTCAGATACTTCTTCCAATAAAAAGCTCAAAGGCAGGCAGCACAGTGTTTTCCAGTCCCTGCTGCAGAACTTTCGACGCCCCAACTGCTGCGTCCGCCCCGCCCCTTCCTCTGTGTTAGATTGAAAAGGAAAACAGCTGCAGGGAGCCCTTGCATGTGGTCTTCGTAGGTGTCCGTCTGTCAAAGCTTACTTGTTTTTTTCCTGAGAGACCAGGAAGAGAAAGCAAGTGTTAACTCCAGGAAATTGCTGTGAAGGCTAGTGGGGTCCCTTGATGGAGTCTTCATTAAAAAAAAACACACACATCATTTCAATTGGAAAGAAAGAAAACAAGCAAGCTTCACTGAAGGTTTACAACTGTAATTAAGAGGAAATAGAATTCACTGTTTTTTTAATATGCTGTTGCTTACAGAACTATCATTATCATTATATATGTATCATTTTGTATAACTGCCTCATTTTATCACACTAGTATTTCCATTAAAATCTCGGCTTTATGTTAAAAATAGCAAAAATACTGTTATACTTTTTGGTCCATTGCAGTGAGAATGCTGTTACCCCACAAAATTTAAGTAGTTGATAAGAACTATCATATAAAAAATTGAAACAAATTTGACTCTTAGGCCAGAAGATATTAGGTAAAAACATTTAAATGCATAAAATACCAAATATGAAGTCATATTTGTAAACATTTGCAGATAACCCTTTTTATAAACCTTGTTATACCTGTTAATAAATATAAGAAAGTTATATTAGGAAAAAAAATTAGTGAAGCATTTGACTATGAATATTGCCCACATAAAAAATGAATTTATATATGCACCTTTTCCTGCCCTGAAGGCAAGTTTCATCTCTGTGATTGTGATTAGACTAAATTCATATTTCCTTACCCTAGAGAAAGTACATGTGACTGAATTCTTGGAGAGAGTCATCAAGTTATTGATAATACTCAATTTTATGTTGTGCAGGTGTTCTCCAATGACATTCTACTGAGAGCGTCACGGTTCGGGTAAGGAATTATAAATAGCCAATCACCAAACACTCTATTTTTAGGTGTTAAAAGAAAAAGAAAAGAAAGCCTCCTGAATAACAAAACAACACATATGAGACTCCTGTAAACAGAATGGAGTTTGTGTTTTTGTTTGACTTGGTTCAGTAGCTTCTAGTAGAAAGTGTGGTCCACACCGATTAGAATGTGAGCTTCCTCGCTGTTCTTGTACGTAGACTAATATCATCTTATTGCTTGAATCTAATCTATGATAAAATGGTAACCTCTGTAAGCCTATTGATTTCAAGAGAAAAACGTCATAAAATACCACCCTTCAAACCCAATAAAAGAAGCCACCTTTACTGAAACACGTTTTTGAGCTTTGGGTGGGCTTGGTCCTTGAGAACATAGGCACCTGTCTGAGCTGAGCCCTCACCTGTCTCCTTAAGAGGAGCGTATTCCTAGGGCTTATGAGTGTCCTGCAGGGCACTGGGCTGGAACGACCAAGAGGGGCTTGAGTTGGGGTGACGGACAAGAGGGGAGAGAGCGAGGGCCCAAAAGGGCTTCCCCTCCTGGACTCGTGGTAGGGAGGTTGCTGGTTTCCACCTCGCATTTAGAGAGTCACTGTTGGTTGGAGGGGCGCTGGTTGCTTTCTCTAATCTCATTGCCCTCGATGAGCCAGAAAAGAGTATCTGGCTGTGTGTTCTCTCTCCAGAGATTCAGAAATGCCATTTGGGCAGTAAATTCACAGTTTTTCTTTTGGCTTTTTTGTTTTTTCATTTTAATTCTCTATTGCAGATTCTGAACATTATGGAGGGGAGGAATCGTACCTAAACTTTAACACCACAAGCTACACTGGACATAACCTAAGTTAGTAAAGAGCCATTGATTTCTTTCAAAGCCATTGGACTGTCTGTGGCACCTGCATACGTGGGCCACGGTCAGCACTCTCAGAGCAAGCATGCTCTGAATGGCAAGTACGCTTGTTATACTTGGAACTTAGAATGAGCAGTTTAGTAAAGCCCGTGTTTCCATGTCTTACCGTCGGGCCTCCGTCAAGGATGCTATCTAACGCAGAAATGACCATCCAATGAGCAATCAAATTATTATTAATGAATTTAGTCCAAAACGCTCCCCTTGGCCTTAAATACCCATTTGCGGTAGTGTCCGTGCCACTTCTGTAGGAAATGCCTTTGCCACGATGTAATCTCCCTCCTGTCTCTCGCTCACTGGCTGTCTCCCTCCCACGCTGGCGTACGTGCTGTGTACACATGGAGAACATCCTGTGTACACAGTAGCAGCTGTCAGCGGTACCCACTCCAGACGGGTGAGCCCCAGGTAATCCTCTGCTCTGAACTGGCTAGAACAGGCTGTTCCTGCATGAAAATGGGAAGAAAGGAAGAATTCAGCGTCTGGTAATAATATTTGTTGTCATGAGTTGGGAGTAACCACGTGGTTTATAAATAGTGAAAGGAAGCAGAGGCCACTGAGCTGTGGGCCTCCGTTGCCCATTAAAAATAAATAAATTAATGAAATGAAATAAGTTAAACCTGAATTTGGTGTTCTAGTTTTGCCTCTCAAATTAAAACTTAATGCTCGATGTAGTAACCTTAACTGGTTTTCTTTGATACTGGAACTAACCTTTACTTTTACACCTTTAATCTTTGAATATCCGTCTTTACAAAAGCTTCCTTCTCACTTACGGAATCTTATAGAAGGAACAGCTTTTAAGAACAGTCACAGAAATAGCTCATCAAATGGATAAATAAGACAGGAGCCTAATCAGGACGGCAGTGTTTTGCATTACGATACCCTGAGTACTCTCATGATAAAACCTTGATGTGAAAATGTTCCTTCACTTCGATCTGTGACCCAGCGTACACATTCGGGACAGCATTGTCATTCCTTAGGTTCATCTAGCAACTGACGTTGCAAAACAATATTCTTGGCAGACTCTTTGAACTTGCTCTGCTGTTCCTTACCTGCATGACACACACGGGGTTGAAAGCTGTTTGTTTTTGTCCTTGACTTCTTTTAGTTATGTTTGGGTCCTTTTTAATGCATTTTAGTTGTTGAAATAAGTGGAGGAAATATTATATTAAGTAGATATATATATATATAAGATTTTTTTAAACCAGTAGCAAAAGAGAAACAAGTTAGAACATCTAAATGTTTAAAATGTGAAGATGTGATATGGCTTACCCAGTGAACACTAGAAGTTTCAATTTAAATATTGATTTTTCTACTTTTTATGACTACAAGAAAAATGTGATCACTTCGGCTGTCATATATTTACCTTCAGTGCTTTTCTAATGATGTCTTTCTGGATTCTTGGCCTTGATGCCACAGACCAACTACTTCACATACAGTGAAATCCTAATTAACCTTTGTGTCTTGGATCAGTGGCAGAAGGTGAACGTTGTTTTAGATCAAAGTTAACCAGAAACCTTTTTGTTTGCATCCAATATGAAATATTTGTAAAAAATATTGCTGTGTTTTCCTACCATAGCAAGTTCAGCTATATTGAGTATTATTTGATTTTTGATGATTTTTGAATCTTAAGAATTGTCTAATATTTATTATTTCGGATACCATTATTCTCCATGTTATAGGTTAAATATCATAAAATAAATTGGACTGAATATGCATGTGTAACATATACCCTAGAGGTTGAATTTTGGAACCAAATTCTTAATAAGAGCTTGTCATCTTCAAGTCGAAGGCAGAAGAGGAAAACGACTTTGGGTTGCATCCCAGAATTGTAAGGTTTTATCATTCCTAGCTGACTCTCCTCTTCTTCCTCTCATCTCTGGGAGTTCCTATCATTCTGGGAATACCTGTCGACACCACGTGAAGAATAGACTATGATGTGACTTTACAGTTTGTTTACAGAGGACATCTATGAGTATGCTGTTGATGTAAATTGGTTGGCCTTTGCTGTATCCACTTCGTTACTGTTTTGCTGCCAAAATGTGAGAAGCTGTCTTCTCTTCCTCCTACATGTTGTGCAAGTGTTAAAAAATGTAACTCACCACACCCCTTGTCTACTTTTTAAGACTCAGTAGAAAGAAAAACCATACATTAGGATAAGGTTTGTATATGTGTTTTTACTGAAAATTGGGCACCTGCAGCCTGGTGCAGGCCTCTACCTGTCTGACTTACCAATCGTCTACAGTGCTGCCATGGAGATGACGCTGTTTACTCTCCAGCTTGGTCCTAAGTGGTATTTGAGAAATGAAGCCTGTGAATTTCCCTTTGTGATAAGAATACAGTGAACTCAGCAGGAGCTTGGATAAATGAGCTGACCATCTTGTCCCCACCCCCATTTTGTCTCCATAGTGAATCAGAAGTCTTGCCCACATCTGCCTCAGTGCTTGCTACTTTATGTTCCTATTTGAGGATTTTGTTTTCTGTTAGCGACATCCTTTGAATCCACATGTGGCCCTTTCGGTTGAATCTGTCCCAGTGTGGGTCAGCTGCTACCACCTGGCAAATAACAGGTGATGTGCTGAATCTCCTGTCCATCCTTGTAACTGTATCCTTCTTAACGAAATTCTGCAGCCAGCTAAGTAATTATAAATGGCATCTGTGCAGACACTTGGGCTTACGGATGTCAACGAGATTTTAGACATTTTTGCAAATGAGAAAAAAGTCTTGTAAATACTGAAAAAGATTTCCGTGAACTTTATCCTACTCTTGGGAGAAAAAAAAATCTTGGCTACAGAAATAAGATCAATTTGCTTTACAGTGACCAAGGACATAGATGAAGATGGATTGAAGTGGAAAACTCATGTCTCACAATCCGTGACATCTGCCAGAGGTCATTACAGCTACTTTTAACTGTGAACATTCACCAGCTAAACTACTCACTTGCCACAACCAAATAACCTCTCTCAAAGTAAATCCAATACATCTGTATACATGTGTGGATAGAAACAACAAAAAACCCTGAAAAATTACTGTTGGCTATTAGGTAAATCAAAGTGATGATCATTACAAGGGACATTTAAATAACCGTGGGCCTGGGGGCGAAATGACTGTGGAGGCCAGAATGAAGCACCAAGATGTTATTCACAAGTTTCGTGTGTGTGGTTTTTTTTTTTTTAAGACCCAGATATCTTGGATACTCATCATGAGAATAAAGACTGTTGATAATGAAATTAAAGCCAAGCAATAATGTGCCAAAAAGAGGCAGTTATACCAGCAAGTGCGTCTGTAATGGGCACACCATTATATAATTATGGTTTGCTCCATAAAGACTGACTGTAACCCACAGGCTAAAATAAGCAAAGGCATACTTTCTGCTTTCTTGCTGGAAAAACTTGTTTAGGAGAGCCATTGAGAGGTCCAGCTGTAGTGAGCATTAGATTTTATGGTTAACGTCTCTGTTTTAACACTAGCCAAGACCAAAGGAGTCACCAAGTTAAAACTCAAGACAACACTGGAAACTTGGTTGAAATGAAGGATTAAATGTATGGTAATTACTATTCCTGGACACTCGCTTGTAGGAAAGCAATTCAGGTAACTTTGTGTGGAGGATTACCAACTTTGCGTGGAGGATTACCAGCCTTAGCTATGGAAAAAAAAATAAGGGTTCTCAAATGCAAAATAACTAAAATGTGAGTACTCATCTCAAAGTGGGCCTCAAATAATGCCTTACTGAAAATGATGTTCTCAATGGGTGTTTCTGAAAACCAATTCTTCCTCAAGTATCCTTTTGGGTTCAAGCTCAAAATCGATTGGCTGGAATAAAAATGACATATTTTACACTTCAAAAAAAGATACTGATGATCGACCAGCATGGGGATAGTTATGATGAGAGATACCCTAGGGATTTCAGTGAGTTAAAGAGAACTCAGTGGGGGGTGAAACACTAACTTCTTTCTTGAACTCTTAAAATGGGGGGATGTCATCTGCTTATTTTGGGGTGAAAATGAGAGCTTGCTTTTTGGAATTGCTGCTAGTGTTACTCTTTGTTCCTTTAAAAATTAAACTGTCTATTCTTCGGCAGAACTTTTAAGCAGTTAAACAACATTTTTCTGGTTCATATTGCTTTTAATATCATGTAAAGATTCTGTATAGAGCAAACCAGAAATGCGCGGAAGGGGCTTATCCATGTGTATCCATGTCTCTTAATGATTTCAGTAGTCTTAGCATTTATTTTAACCACATCTTTGAGTAGATTATTCTTCATTAATGCTTTCTGGCGTGTCTTACAATGATGTTGGTCATCGGGAGATTACAGTATTAATAGTCATGCTCCTCAATCTCTAGCAGGGAGGAGAGCCTAATTCTTGTGTTAAGGGCGTCTGGAAATACCTTTTTCTGAGGTTGAGAGAGGTCATCAGGGCCTGAAAACTCAAGAAGGAAATACAGTAACAATTACTAAATTTCTAAATGTATTTATCTCGCTGTACTAACGTGTGAACAATATGTCGTGCATAACACTGTAGCTGGTCGTGGTATGTCAGTACATCCTGTAAGTGTGTAATGTCTGTGAGTGGCTGGTTTTCTGTTTTTATGTGTAGAAAAAAATACCATGCTGTATCCCATTTTAAGGCCAGGTTCTGTCATCAGGAGGCTGCATGTTCGAAAGTGAATAAAACCAACAGACGTGTGTGTGCGTGTTCAGTAACAGAATTTGTCCTTTCATTTTCGAAGGTCAGAAAGGGCTGTTTTTTTTTTTAAGCATCTCTGAGAGTAGATCACATAATTATCACAAAGGCTGAACACATTAGTCAGTGCACGGGCATGTTACTAAATATGCCAGGGCTAATCCCCCACATCCTTAGTCACAGGTAAGGTCAGTTCTTTGACCACTGGGTTGATTTACATTCCTCACACATCTTCTCCGTGTTAAGTGTGTGACTAGGATGTACATACTATGGGTGTGATTGTGTACATACCTTGTATGAATTATCTAAATCCTCAAAGCAGTTGCTGGAAAGAAAGAAAGAGTTGTTAGCCTCAGAAGGGCTAATCAATGTGTATTTTCATTTTCTACACATAAAAATGTATACATGACATAACTGTAAATAGCTTACCCACCTATCCATGCGCACATAGATGCATTTTATTCATACTGGTATATTTAAATAAATCACAAATTAAAACAACTAATTGAAAGCGGCATCCTTCCATGACTGTTCTGTTATATGTATAGTAATATCAGATCAGATGCTCCATATTCAATGGTGTTACTCCCTGGTAGCAGATTTGGTGCTTAGAAAGCCCAGCCCCACTGGACCATGCATAGCTAGTTGGTGTCTCACTGAGGCACGGACTGGTACCTGACCATCTTCAAAGGCTTAATGCTGTTCTTTTAGCACCTAATTTTCTATCTGGAAATGACAAACACTGGGGAAAACCAATTATGTTTTATAGACTCCATTTGTACATTTATTAGTATGTTTATTTGCACAGGCTGATAAAAGCCCTACATTTTTTTTCAAAGACATAGCTCTAAATTTCAAAACAGTATATAGTCACTCAGAGTGAAACCTGATTGCAGGAATTCTTCTCTTGAGATCAGCAAAACAATGTTTAGCAACACCAAAGAGAAGTCAAAGAGGCAAACTTTTTTTAAAATGACAGGCGACACTGGTAGAAGAATAGGATAATAGCAATTGGGATTTCCTTAAGATAGACTCAGATAAACTACGATGTTGACGCCAGGTGCTGCAGTGGGGACTAGATAAGATTAGAGTCATTGGCCAGGGAATGCTAACATTGGGTACGTCAACTTACCACAATTCCAATCGGTGAGTTGACATTGTTTTAGTTTCTCTCATTTCTTTTAAAAGGAAATACTCTATTGGCGATCAGAAAGTCTGTGATATGGTTCCTAGAACCTAATGTGATTTGACCTCAATTCTTTGATGCTGAAAATTATGTTGGCTGGATATTAGGTTGAAGATATGAATGGAAATACCAGAATTGCCAATTAATAGAGAATTCTGTGTGGCAAGGTACAAATATAACCACTTCTCAGTAGAAAGTTAGTAATACCATTTAATACATATTCATGTTTTAAAAACTGAATGTGCCATCTTTGTATTTTAGATAAAAAGATTAACCAACCATAAGAACACTACAATTATAACTAGAGCTAGCTGTGTTTTTTAACGACTAAAAACAAACTCTTTATAAGAGCAGTACACATGAAATCTTGATGTCAATATTTACTGTTGCTTAAAAGACAGATTTATGTAATTATTTTGAGAGATGCATATTAATTTAAATGCCATCCAGAAAAATTATAGATGTCAATGTAAGAATCATTTGTGTGTGTAAGTACTCAACAGAGAAAGAGCAAAACTGTAGTGTGATGTTAAATCACTGAAGAAATGGTAGTATTTAAAATGAAATTCCATTTATGAATGTATCAGTATTAGAATCTAAAGTTATGTCTTTTCATACTGTCTATATACAAAGGTCATTAAATGATTTATTTAAGAACGTCCTCATCTTCCAGAAATCGACCTGCCAATAAAATTTCATTTCCTAGAAAAAGGATGAACTATTAAGATTTATATGAGGACAGATCAAGATTTGGAAATTATGTACACTTCCAACCTCATTGTGGATTTGATATCTGAATGGATGAATGAACGAAATTCAACTGATGATCTAGTTTTACCCTTGAAAAACTTTCAAATATAATTTTTTTTGCATTTCACTTTCCATAATAAACGTGATACAGATGAAAAGTTACAGTGTTCGTTTTTTGTTGTTACTGCGTTTGCCACAAAATTGTTCTCTTAGGCCTAGATGCTTAGAATCGGTTGATTTCAGTGTGACAGACTTTTGCCAGGTATCTACAAGAAGAGCTGAAAGTATATACAGTGAAAGGGTTTTTCCCTTTAATTGAAATAGAATTCTCATAGCATCAACAAAGCCTGCACGGCATCGGAGGTAGTGGTTTTTCCTGCTGTTGGTGGCACAGCGGGGTGTGTGTGTGTGTGTGTGTATACAAGTGTGAACTTTTGCTTTTGCTTGGTGATAGTGATGAGAGGTTGGCATTCGTGGATATACAGGAAGGGGTGGGGTATGGAGCACATCTCTGTGTTAGCGTGGACACTTATATTCAAGCTTATATTGTCTCATGCCCAGGCTTAGCTGCCTCTGCCTGCAGCCATCCAGCTGAGCTGCAGTGTGGCGCCAACTTCTTCGTCCGTCCATTCCTGGGTACACAAGTCACAGGTTCCTAAAAGAAGGTGGAAGACCAGCTATGGCCTCCAATCCAGCTTAACCATTAATAAAGCTAACACTATAATTAGATCCTTTTTGCCTTCTTGAATTTGTGTTCAATTCATCAAAAAAGCTGTAGAGTTGGATAGATATAAAATCTATGAACCCCAAAATCTTCAAAAGATGACTTGACGAATTTTTCATGAACTTTACACAGTGATTGTTTCAAAACATCCAAGGGCCATGCTCTCCCTCCACCAACTCTGTGCATATAAATACACACTATTTCAGCCTAAAATGATGTCCAAGGGCTGTCATGATCTAACTCTTGTATACTTTGACATTCACTCTTGGCAAAATTAAGCTTCACGCATTTCCAAAGACATAAATGCTATTTGAGAAGGTAGGTCATGCCCAGGTCCTCAGAGGGCAGAGATGCTTGACTTACTCCTGCAGCTGTTTATGTCCCACCAGCAGGCGTTCAGCTCATTAGGTGCCTCTTCCAGCCAACTCTTCTCACTCACCTACGCCTTTAATGTTGAGTAGTAAACGCAAGAGCAGCCTGATCGTAATTCGGCTTCTCTGGACTGATTGTGAACTCAAAATACCTCTTATTTCTTGGGAAGGGACTGCCTTTTGTCAACCACATAGGATCACTTTGGATCTACCACATGTTCTTAATGAATTCATGAATGCCAACGTTGTTTAATTTTTCTCAACACCATTCTAGACTCTCAGTGAGCTAAGTTACAGAGTTCTAAATTCTTTAGACCCTTTGAATTATCTTAATGTTCTATAGCCTGTTTTTCTAAATACATCATAGAGGACTAAGATCGTAGACATTCTTATTATCAGAATGGAAGCTGAAAGTGCTCAAAGAGATTTCTGGTGGGAGTATTGGCATCTCAGGGATGATCTTTCCCTACACCTGTTTTAAGTTCCACTTGACACATCTCAATCAAACTGCACAGGAACCTTGGTCTATCATTAAAAAACAAAAAACAAAAAACACCTAAGCAGAATGTCATTGTCAAAGATATCCCAGGTGTTTAGAAGCAAGATAAGACTTCTTAAAGGGTTGGAAAGTATTTGCTTATTATCTGTGTTCTTTTTGCCTAAAGTCACTCCAAAGAGTAATGGCCAAAGGCTAGACATTTTGCTGGGCACTTCAACAAGTGTCTCAGCCTTGGGAGGTATATATAAATGCACATTTTTTTCCAGTTGATTTTTTTCTCAGTGGTAGATACTTGAAACATATGAACTGGATGTTCAAAAAGGAATAGTGGTAATTACCCAGGCTCAGAACCAAAGAAACCTGGGTTCAAATTTCAGCTTTAAAGCTAAATTCCACGGCCCAGTCACTTAATCATTTTGAGGATTAGTGCTTTCATCCGTAAATTGAGGATAAATTTTTGCAAAATTGTGAGGATTAAATGACACAGGCAATACAAATGTTAGTTCCTTCCCTTACTCCTTTAATTTTTGTGTTCTTTGCTTGAATTTTACCATTCTATTACAACCAAGCTGGCATTTTGCCATTTTCTTCTCTTCAGTAAACTTTTAATAAATCTAGAAAAGTACTAAGAATGTTTTAAATCTGACTATGATGTACCTAAATTGTGACTTTAAACATATTTCTGTTTTGTTTAAAACATAAGGATGACACATTCACTTAGTTACCAGATCTTTAAGAATTAGGAAAAGATTTGAATTTTTAACTTTGTCACCTCAAATATGATTTTTTAAATATCAAGTTAAATGCTAATTAAAAATGATCAATTCAAAAAAGGAGGAAAAAAGGCAAACATTTGGTGACTTTAACTGCACTAATACTTAAAACTTGGATATGATAAAAGATTCCAGATGCAAATTAAAAGGGAAGTGATATAACTAAATATTAGAATCTGGGAAAAAATAGGAAGAACACCTACAAATCAGTTACAAAAAGATGAAAACAACAGAGAGGTTTGTCAAACTGTATAAGCAAGCGTCTTAAATATGTGAACATGTGCTCAGCTCCACTAACAAACCTCCATCTCCCACGCCTGAATGCCGTTGCAGGCGGCCTTCCAGATTCATGCGGGCTGAGTTAGGAGTTTTACATCCAAGAGATGGAAAAGAGTACTTCACCTGCACTATAAGGCCTGCAAGTTGGAGATCCCTGGTGATGTGTGTGTGGGAGGGACACAGAGAGTCAGTGTGGGAGTGAGCGCGTGTGTGCGCGCGCGAGTCGCGTGCACACACCCACCCGCACGCATGCCCAGAAGCTGTTCACGTGTCCACGTAAGGCAGGAGGAAGGACTGTAGGGGGAGGGTTTCCTAAAGAATCCACAGAACGTCCTTGAGAGCAGGTTAGATACAAACCCTTGTCAGAGAGAGCAACACTCAGCAAAGTATGAACTTGCCTGATCTCCTCCGTTCCTCTCTCTCCCCGGTCTTCAACCAGATTATTTGGCAGAAATAGAATCTCTAAGGGGTGGAAAGCAACAAGGATCTAAATCACAACCTCCATCTTCATGGGGGTCTGTGGGGCTGATAAGGAGAGAATTTTCAGTTATAAGCAGAATAATGATTATTCCATGAGACCGAGCATTTTAAATTTGAATTGAGATTGCATTTGCAAGTTGAATGCTGAAGTTGAATGCCGTTCCTGCTGAATCGGGGGGGTCCCCAAAACTGAAATAGACTCTGTCACTAGTGATGACTTTGCCACCTGACATAAAGCTTTGTGTGGACGGAAAATACTGGAAGTTCATGTGACAGAGCCATGCTACCTGCTTGGCCCCTGAAAACATCTGCATTTGTGGCTGCTGCTAGTCCAGAAGCCCCAAAGCTCCCATAGTTTTTAAAGGTCAGCGTCAACATTAGCGCTTCTGCAGCTTGTGAAGGGAGAGTCCCAGGTGATTCCACTTTGATTTATGCAGACCTGCCGTGGTAGGCAGAATTCTAAGGAAGATTCCCGGCCTCTGGTACGCACACACCTTTCCTCAGTTCTGTAATCAATCACTGCTGTGAAGTGATTTCATAAATATTATTCAGGTCACAGATCAGTTGACCTTGAACCAGACAGATTATCTGTATGAGCCAGACCTAATCATGTGAGCCCTTTGAAAGCTAGACTTTTCTCCAGCTGGTTCCAGAAGTCAGCGAAACCCACTCTATCTGGCCCGAGAGAAACCAAGCATCTACTTGTGAACCAGGAGTGGAATCCACATGGCAGGGACTGCGGACATCCTCCAGGGGCGGAGAGAAGGCTCCAGCTGAAGCCTAGAAGGAAAACAGCGACTCAGCCCTACGACTGCAGGGAAATGAACTCTGCCAACAACCAGCGAGCTTAAAAGAGGACCCCCAAACTCAGGTGAGAACTGCCGCCCTGACCAACACCTTGATTTCAGCCAGGCGGGGCCTGGAGGAGAAACCAGACGTGCTGAACTTTTACTTCCGACCTACAGAAACCATAAGGTAACAAATGTGTACTGTTTGTTGTTGCTCAGTCTCTGGTAACTTGTTGTGTAGCGATAGAAAACTAATATACCCCTCAGTTTGGGATTTGAAGTTGCCAAAGATCCACTGTGCAGTCAAGGACTTATTTATTTCTGTGCTACCCAAACCAGGGTGCACGAACCCTTCCACGCTAAAGTGCCAATTTTCCTGAAACACCTGGCGGTAGTTTTAATGGGTAAGTACGTGAGTCGCTTTAATATTGAAGGGAACATGGATGTGTATGGTTGTATCTGTCTCCCGTCGGCTATTCTCTGTCCATTCTTCACCTTGCTCATCCTGCTTGGTGCACTTGGAGGCTGATTTGTATAGACAGGGATCACAGGCCCCCTTGCCATGCTGCCACCACCTGTTTTCAGCTTCTCCACGTGCTGGCGGGAGGTGGGTGGCACGGAGGAGAGAGAGTAAGGTCAAGGCATTTATTTCCCTTATCAGCCACACTGGGGGGCTTGTGTTGGCTGTGTCACCCTTATTTGAGCCGGAACCCCTGCTTCTTTATTAGGCCGGGTCCTGGCTAGTCCTCCCGTCCTTGGCTTCTCAGGCCTGAGAGTCATGTCCTGGACCCCAGCTCATCACTAGACCCATGGTACTACACTACTGCTTTGTGATTGCCCTAAAACCTACCTACATCTTTGTAGATCTCTTTATAAAATTCTCCTCACTTACCCAGTTTGAAAATGCCATCTGTTTCCTACCAGAATTTGACTTATAGAGGAATCAAAGGACAAAGTCTCCATTCTTAGATGATAAAACACAGGACTTCAGATAAATTTCTGTCTTTTGGCTGGCTGCCTCCAGCTATGCCCCTTCGCCTTCCAGTATTATTTGTTTATCATTCTCATCTCCCTCTAGGAATAGTACTGCATAAAATTTGAAAACTATTTGTTGGTGTAAACAATGTCGATCATATGCATGTAAGAGTTTCTTTTTTTTAATTGAAGTGTCATTGATGTACAACGTTGTGTTAGTTTGTGGTGTACAGCATAGTGATTCAGTTACACATTTATATATACATTCT